CTTTTTTTTTTTCTCCATCCTTTTTCTTTTCCTTTCCTTTGGCAAAACTATTATTATTATTATTATTATGGTTTCACTTTAAAAATTTTTACGTAATTTTTTTTTTTACTCTTTTTTATTATTAATTAATAATTTTTCTTTTTTGTTATTAGTGACGGAAAAAAATTGTAAGTATGGTCAGTAGACATTTTTTTTTTTTTTTGGATAAAATCGAAATTTATTAATTTTATAGTCTATAAAATTTACATTTCATTTGAAATTATACAAATTGAGATTATAGTCTATTATTGAGAAAATTTGTTTGTTTATAATAAATTAAAATTCAATGCCGAAAGTTTAGGTTATTCCGTTTTTTTTTTATTCGGTTAAAATTTAATAGAACTATAAAATTTCATTTTAATTTTTTTTTTTTTATATAAACGCTTTAAACGGTATTTATAGTAATTTTACTTTGCTTCATATAATTTAAATATAATTATAGCGCTATTAACAGTTTAAAAAAAGTCGTGGAATTAGTATTTGTAATTAAAGTATGTTCGATATATTTTTTTTTTTTATAAAATTGAAAAACTTATTTATAAAAAAGTTAAAAATAAATATATTAACAAATATAGTAAAAATTAAAATATATATTATAGTATAGCGAGCGAACAATACAATAATAATAATAATGATAAAATGAATAATTAGAGTAATGCATTTCGCAGCGGACTATAATAATATTTAAAAAAAATTAAAGAATCCTCAAATTTCTTGATACTCATGTGCCCCCACGTGTTTTGATACAATAAATACATTATCATTATTATTTTTATAGTTTAATATTACTATAGCAGTTTATAGTAAGAAATTTACTATAAAAAAAATGACCGAATGTAATGTCGACGATATTATTTTTTTTTTGGTTCTTAATTTAAAAAGAAAATTATTATTATAATAATCATCAATATTATTTGAATTAAAGGAAACTAGAAACGCATTTATTAACTCTGTTTTATTTCGCTTATGCCTTTTATCGGAAGTTTATTTATTTATTCATAAAAAAAAAAATTATCAATCAAATGATATATCTGCTGAACACTAATACAGCGCCAAGTTATAGAACAATATAAAATGCTGTTGGTTTGCTTTGTTCCTGCTGCTGTTTTAATTATTAATAATAATACTTGTTTTTTATTTATGAAACGAATAATAATAATAATAATAATAATAATAATAATTAGTATGTAGGAGTCATTTTATAAATTTAAATAAAATTTTCATTTAAGTATTATAGGTAATACTGTGGAAATGGTTCTGTGATTATTTTTGTCACAATAATTTTCAAATATGGCGAATGAATGAATGAATGAATGAATGATGGTTCTGTTATTGATAAAAGAAAAAAAATATTTATTAGGTAATAAAAAAAAATTTTTATTAATTAATAAAAAAATTTTACAGTTGAGAAAAAATAATTATCAATTATTGATCCAATAATTGATTTTACATATAAAAAAAAAAATTTTCCATTTTTTTTTCTGAGGAGTCCTTATTCGATAGAAAAATGCTACATTTTGATTGGAGTTAAGGTTTCGATGTTTAAATTATGAGAAAATTTTTTTTTTTTTTTAATGGAAAGAGTGGTGACCAATTGATTCTAATCCTCCGAGTGATGATCCGTGGCTAAGTCCAGATTCAAGACCATGTCCTAAGGAACCTCCCAAGGAGCCTCCTCCCAAAGAACCACCCAAAGATCCGCCCAACGAACCTCCAATTACGCTGCTGTGGTCAGATACTGGGTATGGAATTGGTACGGTTTTGGATACTTCTACTGGGTATGGTACGGGTTTGTCGACGTGAACTGGTACTGGTACTTGTTTCTGTACTTCTACTGGGTATGGTACTGGCTTTTCGACGTGAACCGGTACTGGTACTTTCTTGTGAACGTGAACTGGGTATGGTACTGGTACTTGTTTTTGAACTTCGATTTTTACTGGTACTGGTTTTTCGACGGTGTAAGGCACGGGTACTTGCTTGGGAACTTCGACCTTGTATGGTACTGGAACTGGAACTTTTCTTTCGACGGTGACTGGGTATGGTACTTTCCTTTCGACTGGGTATGGTACGTGTTTCTCGACGGTGTATGGGATTGGAACCTTTTTGGCGACTTCGACTGGGTATGGTACTGGTCTGTCTACGGTGTATGGTACTGGAACTTGTCTGGAGACGGTGACTGGGTATGGCACACGTCTTTCGACGGTGACGGGTACGTAGTTTTGAACGGTGTATGGTACGGGACGGTCGACAACGACTGGAACTTGTCTTTCGACGGGTACGGGAACTGGAACTTGTCTGTTGACTGGAACTGGAACGTATTGGTCGACGTTGTAGGGTACTGGAACTTGGTTGGTGACGGTTACGGTACGATGAGTGTTAACTTGGGTCACTCCACCAGAGACTCCACCGGCTAATCCACCTCCTAATCCACCACCCAATCCACCTCCTAATCCGCCGGACAATCCGCCACCTAATCCACCAGACAATCCACCACCTAATCCGCCGGACAATCCACTAGACAAACCATGAGACAATCCAGATGAAAGTCCACCAGAAAATCCACCCAATCCTAAATATAATAATAATTAATTATAAATCAATCTTCAATTCCAAAAAGTAATAATTTGTATAAAACATACCACCGTGTCCTAATCCTCCTCCGATGCCTCCTCCGATTCCAGAACCAAGGGTCAAACCTCTTTTGGTCTTAGCTGAATCCTTAACGGCATCGGATTTTTCAGTAGTTTTTGAAGCTACCAAAACAGCCAAAGCAACAACCAAAATTGTTTGCGACTGTAATAATTTTTAGAAAAAAAAAAAAAAAACTTTTAAACTCCCCAACAACATTTTACCCGAAAAAAAAAATTTTATTTTTATTTCTTTTATTTCTTACCAAACGCAGCATTTTACTACAGTTATGGTTTCCTCTTGTGTGTGTTCCTCAACTGTAAAAGAAGTAAACTGTGATTAAACATAACAACCCGCGAGTTTATATACTCGTAATTTTGCATAAATTTTTTCCATTTTACTTATTAAAAAAAAAATTAAAAATAAAAATGGCGGATGAGTAATGAATTGAAACGAATCGTCGGCACGCATCATGTATTAAATTTAATTTTTTTTATTTATAGAACAATTATTAAAAAAAAAAAACTATATATTTTATAGCGCGTACTTTCTTTTTGTTTACGAACTTATATATAAAAAATAAAACCTCCGCCAACTCGAGTAATAAGCCTTTTTTTCACATTTTCTTATACCAATATGTAAATACTATATTTTTATAGCATATTTTATAATTTTATAAATAATATTTCCTTCTATACAAAATTAAAGGATTTTTTTTCTGAAATATCTATGCAACATTGTAAAAAATATAGCTTCGTTTTATTTTACTTTTTTACGAAAATCCTTTTGATTTATTTAAATATTATAGCGCTATATATTTTTTTTACATATACGTAACTTATTTAGTAATAATTTTAAATATTTATTTTAAATTAGGAAATGCACAGAAAAATTAATTTAATTAAAAATGCATTTTTTGTTCTATAAATTAATTAGAGCGAGTTTTTTATTATTATAGACTATAATTGTAATAATTGAAAAAAAAATTTGCTGAAATTCAATTAACGTAATCAATCTTATCGCGTTTTAAACGCAAAAAAAAAAAAAAATTTATTTCGTAAAAATAATAATAATTTTTCTTTTTCAATAATTTTCGAGGTTATTCCAACAGATGTTTCCACATTTATATACAAAAAACAAACAAACAAAAAAAAACAGGAAGGAAAAAATCAAAAATTAAATTAAAATTTTTTTTTTATAAGAAAGAAATTAATTTAATTAAATTAATGCAATTAAAAACAAATTTATAAATAAAAAAAAAAAAAAAACATTTAAATGTCTCTTGTTGCCAACTTTAACAAAAAAAAAAAAATTAAAGTGATTAAATTAAGGTGGGGGAAAAAAATAAAAAAAAGTTTGCCAATAAAAAAACCAAAAAAAAAAATTTATTTGTTACGTAAATTATTTATTAATAAAAAAATTTAATTGATCCCCAATTTGGAATTTGAATCGCAGCAAATTTAACGAAAAAAATGTTTTGTTAACGACAGCAAAATTTTCGATTTTAATAAATTTGATTCGCCTAAAAATTTTATTTATACACTACAACGAGTAATTTCTATACCTAGCTTATTTTATTTAAAAAACTAAAAAATTATTACCCGGGTTATATATATATAACAATAAGGTAATAATTTTTTTTTAAATATGGAGTTAGTAGCTTTTGTTTTTTTTTTATTTCGTCACTTCCGGTTTTGTATATTTTTAATTCTGTTGTAATTTTTATTTATTAATAAGGTTGGTAATAAAAAATAACAATACGATAATTTTTTTTTAAATTAATTAAATCAATTATATTTAATAATAATAATAATAATAATAATAATAATAATAAAGGAAATATACAGTTAACGAATAAAACATTGCATTGATGGAATTTAAGGAGCAGACTGTGTAATGCCTAAATAATTTTTTTTATCGGCATATTGATAAGAGGAATATCGATAAGAGACTGAGTTCAATGCTTAGTTTTTTTTTTTTTTTATCTGGAGAAAATTATTATTGCTGGAGGAAATTTTTTTTTTTTTACTGGAAAAATCGATCAATGATTAGTTGATGACGTTTTAATGAATGTGGTTGTCGATTTCTTGTTGGTGTTTTTCTTCTTCTTCGTTCAAAACTCTACCACCGAAACTTCCATGTCCTTCGTGGCTGTGTACGGTTTTTTGAAAATATCCAGTTATTTTTCCGTGACCGTGTTTGTGTTCGGTGAAAACTTGTTGTTCGCTAACGGCACCGTGACCGAGTCCGACTCCTCCGTATCCAGATGATCCGAGTCCGATGCTGCCGATGTGTCCAGAAGAAAATCCAACGCTGCCGATGTGTCCGGAAGAAATTCCGGCACCGCCGAAGTGTGCTGGTGCTATTCCAATGGTGGCAACGTTTTCAGATGAAAGACCGATGGCTTCAGAGGAATGTCCAATTCCTCCGTGGCTGGAATGTCCAACGGGAACTGGTACTGGTATTTGTTTTTCGATGGGTACTGGGTATGGTACTTGGTTTTCAACGGTGACTGGTACTGGTATTTGTTTTTCAACTGGTACAGGGTATGGTACTTGTTTTTCGATGGTGACTGGTACTGGTACAACCTTTTCGACTTTGACTGGATAGTGAACTGGTACTTTCTTTTCTACTCGAACGAAATATGGTACGTGCTTTTGAAGTTGAACTGGAATTGGTACTTTCTTTTCGACGTGAACTGGGTATGGGACTGGTACTGGTACTTTATTTTCAACTGGAACTGGGTATGGTACGGAATGTTCGACTGGGTATGGGACTTGTCTTTCTACTGGGTATGGTACTGGAACATTTCTTTCGACGGTAACGGGGTATGGTACTTGCCTTTCGACGGGAACTGGAACGGGAACGCTTTGTTCAACAGGTACAGGTTGTGGTACGACTTGTTCGACTTGAACGGGTACGGTTTGGCTGACAGGGTAAGGTACTGGTCTGTCAACAGGAACCGGAACGCTCGTTTCAACTGGCACTGGTACGGGAACGGTATTTTCAACAGGTACGGGAACAACGTTATTTACTGGTACGGGTACTGGTACGTTGTTAGTAACAGTAGAAACAGAGCTAGTCGAAACACCACCACCCAAACCTTGTCCTCCAATCAATCCTGAAAAAAAAACCAAGTTCGTGAAATATTTTCAAAACAACCTTTTTAAAAATTTTTTTGATGTCAATCAATCCAACCTGCACCACCAACTCCAACTCCTCCAGAAATTCCAATTCCATTTCCGCCAGAAAATCCAAGTCCACTTCCGCCAGAAACTCCGAGTCCACTTCCTCCAGAAAGACCAAGTCCAACTCCTTGACCGTGTCCAGCAGCAAAACCTCTTTTAGTTCTTGGAAATCCATAAGCTCCAGTGGCTACTAATACGAGTAAAATAAATTTCGTCTGAAAAAAAACCATAACATCATTATTATCATTAACGAAAACGATTAATAATTTTCTTTTTTCTGAACATTTCATACGTAATAAACTTTTATTTTTAACTCACCAACTTGAGCATTTTCTCTAACTTTTGATTTCCTCCCCAGTCTTCTCCTAAACTGTATATTATTAAAACTGTGACTTTAACATAAAATTTCACTCCTTTATATACCCCACACACACACACACGATTAATATTACATATGGTTAACTAATCTAATTTTTTTTACAAATTTAATTCAGTGTAAAAACGTCACAACTAAATTGGAAAATCAATAATCCGCGAATCCTTTTTAAATAAAATAATTTTTATTTTTTGGATTAATAATGTATTAATTAGTTATGTTTGAATTGTTTTTTTGTCAAGGTAAACGATTTTAAAGTATTTTTAACGAAACTTTTCTTTCTCCAGTAATTATTTGTAATTTTTTTTTATATTTTGTTTTTTTCCAGAACGAACGAACGAACAAAATTCTCCAGTAATTTTTCTTTATTTATTTACGTAACGAAGAAATTTTTTTTTTACGATGAGTAGGAAAAACAAATTAAAATTATTATGTTTTTTTAAAATAAATGTTTATTTAATAAGTTTATTAAACAATAATAAAAAAATTACGGTAATAATTTTTAATAATAATAATAATTATTACGTAATTATTATTTTTTTAAATAAAATTTTACGCATTCGTATGAGGTGTAGGTTGATTATTGTAATTAAGAGTGCTGTATGTTTCTTGTGTTCCACTTAACTGACCGTTATTTTTTTCTTCCCTTTGTTCTTGTCTGGGTAATAAACCTTAAACAACAACAACCGACGTGTTTGTATGCGATAAACAAAAAAAAAAAAGAAAAATTTTATTTACCTCCATTTAAATAATTATTTTTCCTATCAGATGAAACGACATTGCCAACATTTTCTTGTATTTTTCCAACAGGAACGGGTACGAGATAAATTCCAAAATTTATTTTTTTCAACGTTTCTTCATTTATTCCGTGTTTAGCGGGGGTATTAAAATCGGAAGTGTATAATATTTCCGGTTTCGGTGTCGATACCAAAGCGACATTCGGCGTAACGTGAAGAACGGAGTTCAAAGGTCTTACGGTCACACTTTGTACGTTATTTGTCGCATATGTTAAAAGAGGAATTTTATCATTTATCAGTTGGGGAGGTGGTGCAACACCAACAACACCACCACCACCAGGTGGTAAATTTATATACCTCAAACCTTGATGTGGCGTTTCTCTTATTAAAGGTATCAGGGTACGTTGAGATGAAAATACCGGATAAATACTACCCGGGGAAGTGTCTTTATCAAACGATGATTTTTTATTATTTAAATAATTTAAATGAGGGTATGGTAAAGGTACGGGTACTGGTACTGGTACGGGTACGGGTACGGGTTTTGTTAGAACAATGGTTTTAAATTCTTCACCTGTATGACCAACATCACGATTAAAATATACGTTCCAATCTTTAAAAAAAAAGAAAAAAAAATTTCAAATTCATTTTTTTTTTTTAACACCTGATTATGACACGACGTATTTTAAAACTGGGTATTCAAATTTTTTTATTTTTTTGTACCTTTTTTATTATCGTCGGCACCGCCGGTAGATTCAAAGTCAAATATTAAATCCGGTTCAATTTTTTCAACAGGTATAATCGGCCATTGTTGAATCGGAGGGTTTGACGATACGAAAACTCCCGGAGCCATCAGGAAAAAAAGAAAAACATACGAAAACTGCAACGTACGTAAAAAAATATAATTTTAAAAAAAATTTATCTTTTTTTTTTTTTAGTTTTTTAGTTTTTTTTAAAAGATTTAAATCTATTCTCACGTTTTTTTTTTAAAACTAAATTTAGTTTTTAAAAATATTATAAAAAAGATAAATTTTTTTTTTTTTATTTGATCTCTTACCGTAAAAATCGTCATTTTGAATTCTTCTCCAATGTTTCTCACTTTAGTTTAATTTAAAACTAAATTTAATAATAATTTTTCCGGGAGTTATATACTCTTCCCATTACTATTATTATTATTATTATTATTATTATTATTATTATTATTATTATTATTATTATTATTATTATTATTATTATTTTAATATGAAATTTAAATATATTATTTGATTCTTTATTAAAAAAAAGAAAAAAAAAATTTCGAAGGATTTTGTTAACAAGGTTATCATCTCCGGAAGAGAACAAAAATTAAAACAAATATTAATTATTTATTTATCCCACGTTTTATCTCGTTATTATCTTGTATATTGTTATTGTTATTATTATTATTATTACTACGACTCCTCGCAATTATTAATTGTTAATGAAAATATATTAATAAAAAAATTTTTTTTTATGCGCCGTTTTTTTAACGATGAATCTAATTGTAATCAAGTCCAGGATAAGAAATAAAATAATTTAGGTTGAGATGTGTGAAATCGTATTAATAGAGTGATAATAATAATAATAATGATCTGTCAAGATGTTATTTGCCGATCAACCGAATTTGCCGACGGCCGACCGTTTTCGATGAAATCGGAAAACCGAATCCATTCGTCGGCGAAAACCGTCGACCATTTAATTTCCGGTTGTCCGATATTGGCAAAGCATAAATATCTGAAGAGACACAATAAAATCTGTAAATATCTGTCGGGAAAACGGAATGGATAGACTAGTCAAGGAGTGGTACAAACACATTCAAGCCCGGTTACGACAGAGGGTCTATGCACGGTTCAGTATGATCAACAAATTCACACTGACAGAACTGTGCCAGCCAAGATACCAGGTATTATTTTGCGGCACATTTCTGAAAAATGATGTGCCTCATTCCAGTGGAACCATGCCTCATTCATTAAAAGGAAATTTGAAGAAGATTTGCCCGAATTAAAAAAAAGAAACCGTACAGGAAATTGCGTCATGTGGGATCGCCCACAATTTCCGGAAAATTTTATAGATAACACCGACGAAATTCGAGCATTTCCTCCTAAGAAATCGGGTAGAGAGACCTGGAATAAATGTTTAAAAATTCCGACAAGTATTTAAAACCAAGGTCGTGTTCAAAAGTGAAAGTAATAATAATAATAATAATCGATCATGATTTTTAACCCCCCCCCCAAAAAAAAAAATGATTAAGATATCAAAATTTTTAAACATCATTTATTTAAATCAAAGAAAATTTTTTTAGTTTTTAAAATGTGGCAACGTTGCATCATATCAATCGTCTGCACACCTGAACCTGTTTAATTAATTATTCGGTCGTTGCAAATAATCTTTAAAAAAAAAAACATGGGGGATTATACGAAGGAAATGCAAATATAAGTTTTTATACTGTGAAGAGGAAATTGCTCAGTTTATAATATAAATTATTATTATTATTATTGCGTATGGAAGTGAGGAAATAAACAAAATCAGAGGGGCATTAAAAAGAAAATCAATGAACAAATCACGAAACCGGGGGGGCAAGGAGGAGGAAGGGAGCAATGTCAAAATTATTATAAAAATTTATACGTATAAGTAGCAGAAGACGAATTTTAACGCCGCGTGTTTATCAGTTATATATCATAATATTAACCGGTGGCAAGTTAACCATGACTCCGCCTCCGATGTTATGAAAAAGAAAATTTTTTTTTTAAGCGATGTAAAAAATGTTATGAAAGGAATATTTCAAGGATTTTTTTTAATCGATAACTTTTCGAACCTTTTCGTTCGATTCGAATTATGAAATCATCGTGTTTATAAAAAAAAAAAAAAAATGTTGATGATGCGAATGAGGGTAATAAATTAAATTAAATTAAAAATAAGAGGGGGTAAAAAATTTATTATTGAAAATGTTAAAAGGAAGGTTAAAGGTCATTTAAAGAATCAAACTTATTATTGTTAAAGTAAATATCAAGCTATAAACTATAAAAACAATAATCCATTATTTTTTTTTACCTTTAAGGCATAAAAAAAAAAAAAATTAAGAGGGAGAAAATGATTTTGAAAGGTTTTAACGAGGTGTCCATTTTGTTTTTGTTTTTTTTTTCCGATGATTTAATCACGTGATGATAACAACAAAAAAAAAAAAAATTTTTTTACTTTTGGTTTACTTTTTTAAATAAAATTTATTATTTTTTACATTTTTTAATTTTTTTGCACAATTTTAACACAAATACAGACTGAAAGATTTTAACAACATGTTCAAATTTTGTTTTTTTTTTTTTTAAGTTGGCAACAGTTGAAATGCATTAAGAGGAATCCTTGAATTTGAAAAAAATGCCATCGCTTACAAGGGGTAAGTTGTCTGTGTTGATATGATGAATGAAAAATTTTCTGTCGTTGTGTTGTGAGAATTATATTCATCTATATGATTTTATGGTGTTGTATTAGTAAAGTCCCTTTTTAAAGCTTCCGTAGCTGCTTCCGTAACTTCCTCCAAAGCTGCTTCCGTAGCTACCACCGTAACTTCCTCCGAATCCGCTTCCGTAGCCGCCACCGAGGCTTCCACCACCCAAGCTTCCACCAAGGCCTCCAGAGAAACCACCTGGAAAAAAAAGAAAAAAAAAATTGAAGCTCTGGTTTTTTTTTTTTGGTGGTCGTAAAAGAAAAAATTTATATTACCGCCAAGACCTCCTCCAATACCGCTGGAAGATGAAACAGAAACTGGAACGGGAACTGGTACAGATCTTTCGACAGTTACTGGGAATGGTACTTGTCTTTCAACGGGTACTGGAACTTGGACTTGTCTTTCTACGGTGACTGGGTATGGAACTTGCCTTTCGACGGGTACTGGAACTGGAACGGTGTTTTCGACTTGTACTGGGTAAGGTACGGCAACTTGTCTCTCAACGTGAACTGGGTATGGTACTTGTTTTTCTACTGGGTATGGTACTGGTACTTTTCTTTCAACGTGAACTGGATATGGGACTGGAACTGGGACTTTCTTTTCAATGTGAACTGGGTAAGGAACCTTCTTTTCTACTGGGTATGGGATTTGTTTCTCGACTGGGTATGGGACTGGAATGTTCTTTTCAACATGAACTGGATATGGGACTTGTCTTTCAACCGGAACTGGAACTGGAACACTCTTTTCTACTGGAACTGGGTGTGGAACGGTTCTTTCCACTTGAATTGGTACAGTTTGACTGACTGGATATGGTACAGATCTTTCAACAGTGTATGGAACAACTCTTTCAACTGGGACTGGAACTGGAACGGTGTTTTCAACAGGTATTGGTACAACATTGTTTACTGGGTAAGGTACGGGAACGGTGTTTTGAACGGTCGATACAGTATTCACTCCACTGACGGCTCCTCCAAAACCACCGCCGAGTCCTCCACCGAGTCCTCCACCAAGTCCTCCACCAAGTCCTCCACCGATACTTCCGAGACCACCACCGATACCACCTCCGAGTCCACCACCAATACCACCGAGTCCGCTTCCGATTCCTCCGTGTCCTCCGAAACTTCCGATTCCAGAAAGTCCCGAGAGACCAGAAAGTCCAGAATGTCCTCCTAAAAATTATAAATAATTCCATAAAACAATGTCCTCCAAAAAAAAAAAATTTATTAATTTTTCTTATAGTTACCAAAACCAAATCCGGAATGACCGAATCCAGAAGCATATCCTAATCCAAGAGACAATCCTCTTTTCGTTTTAGATGATGGACTTTCTTCATCCTTTTCAGCTCCATAAACAGTTGACAATGCCAAAAGGGCAACAAACAACATACAAACGTTCTAAAAAAAATTTAAAAATTATTACCCTTTATAAATATTTTTTGCTATTTCCGCCATATTTTTTTTTTTGTTAACTCCTTACCAAACGTAGCATTTTCTTATTGCTTGTGGTTTCCTCTTCAGTCTTTACCAGATGTGCAAAACGATGCGACTGTGCCTTCTCCAGGTAATTTTCATCCTTATATACCAAATGAAACATTCCATAACGTACATGGATTGGTTAAAATTTGATTTGCAATCAAAACTTTATTAATTAAAATTCACGTTTAAGTTGGCTGAACTTGTTTTTTTTTTTTCTTATAAATTAATAATATTATTTCGTTTAATTTCACTTACTGTAAGAAAAAAAAAATTAGTAATAATTAATTAATTAAATCCAACCGTAACGAATATTCAACTTTTTAACGCGTTTCATTATCAATCTTATCATTTTTTTTTTTTTTGTTAATGATAAAGTTCAAAATTTATTTTTGTCGTTTATGAGACAGACATTATTGTATTCCCCCCAAAATATTTTTCTCCAGGACTTAAATAATGGTTAAATAATTTTTTCCATTTCAGTTAATTTATTGACATTGTTAACAATAGTAATGATAATAATTTTTCCAAGTAGAAACGTATTAAATTATGGAAAAAAAAAAATTTTAAACGTCCAACAAAAAAATTTTTTCATGTTTCCCTTTAACAACAAGAAGGAAACGACGCGGGGAAAAAAACAATCAAATCGACCGGATATAGATTCATTTCCGGTTTTCACTGTTGTATTATATGATGTGACAAAAAAAAAAAAGAAACGGAGATCGGTAAATTATTAATAATACCATTTGATTTTATTGTTGAAGAGAAAAAAAGAGTAACTAGACTTGTTGGAAAATTATAGCGCTATATACCTTGCGCTATATATTCCAAAAATTATACGGAAATAATTGATATAATAGGAGCTTTTTTTTAAATTAAGTAAATAATTTTATTCTTTCATATAAATGTATTAAAAATATAAAAAATACAATGCATACATAAAAAAATGTGGTTGTCGAGTAATAAAAAACTGGAAAAAGAACGTTTGATAAAGTTTTTTTTTTTTTTAAGAAAAAAAATATTTATTAAATTTAGAAATACATAAGTTCGACCCAACGTTTTATAGCTCGCTATAGTCTTTATAGCGTCAATATAGTCGATATAGCGTAAAATTTTAACAAAATTAAAATTTTTATTTTATCTCCTCGCAAATTCATCGCCATTTAAATTTTTTACTTTTATTTTTATTTTTATTATTAAAATTATTTTTTATTGCGTAATCGAAAAAGTAATTTTTGATAAGTTTTAGAAAAGGAGTGATAAGAACAAAAACAAAATTTAAATGAGTGATAACGACAAGTGATAAGAAAAAAAAATCTTTTTAACAACTTTTGTAAGTGAAACAAACAAAAAATTTTGATTTAAAAAAAAAGATTGTACCGAATGACCAATAAGCGTAAAAATTGTGTGATAATAATAATAATTAATTAATTATTTATTTAATAATATAAATAATTAATTTATTATTATTATTGCAAAATTTTTTGTTTTTTTTTAGGTTGTGCAAAGTAAAAATAAAAAAAAAGTCAAATTTTTCAATGAAATTTAATAATTTTATTATTTTATTAAAGTTAAAAATTCATAATTATTATCATTATTATTAATAATGGTGTCTGGAATTTATGAGTCTGGAATATTAAAACGTGTAATTAGTGATCAGAGAAGGTTTGTTGTTGTAATGAATTCATTCCGAATTGAGCAATGTAGGCTTGTCCATCTTGATGAAAGGTTGAAACGAAAGCGTTCATTCCAGAATCGTAGAAAAATGATTGGTCGTCATTAACGGGGTACATTATTGGTAAAGCTTTGGATATTTGAAGCGGATATGACGCAGAGTTGTCGACGTGAATTGGTACTTGTTTCTGTACTTCTACTGGGTAGGGTACTGGCTTTTCGACGGTGACCGTTACTGGTACTTTTCTTTCCACTTGTACGGCATATGGTACGGGTACTTGTCTTTGAACTTCAATTTTTATTGGTACTGGTTTTTCGACGGTGTAGATGACTGGTACTTGCTTGGGGACTTCGACCTTGTATGGTACTGGAACTGGAACCTTTTTGTCGACGGTGACTGGGTATGGTACTTTCCTTTCGACTGGGTACGGTACATGTTTTTCGACGGTGTATGGGACTGGAACCTTTTTGGCGACTTCGACTGGGTAAGGTACTGGCCTGTCGACGGTGTATGGTACTGGAACTTGTCGGGAAACGGCGACTGGGTATGGTACTCGTCTTTGCACGGTGATTGGTATGAAGTTTTGAACGGTGTATGGTACGGGACGATCGACTACGACTGGAACTTGTCTTTCGACGGGAACGGGAACTGGAACTTGTCTGTTAACTGGATATGGTACATATTGATCGACGTTGTAGGGTACTGGAACTTGGTTGGTGACGGTAACGGTACGATGTTCGTTAACTTGGGTAACACCAGGAGACAAACCATTTGACAAGCCGTTGGTCAATCCGTCAGATACACCATTTGACAAACCGGTTGATATACCAGAACTTTCTAAAATATTTTCTCCAGAAGAAAATCCATTTACTCCTAAAAAAAATTTACTATAATAATAATAATAATAATTTTATAAAATTCCAACCGTGTATAATAAATTTAAAAACCGTCATGTCCGAAGGTACTTCCGATTCCAGAACCAAGTTCCAAACCTCTTTTGATTTTATTTGATTCCTTATCATCTCCAGTAGATTTTTCGACAGTTTTTGAAGCTGCCACGACAATCAAACCAAACAAAATAATCCATTTCACCTGGAACAATAATCGAAAACATGATTCTCATATTCTTTCTATTTCTGTTAAATTTTTTTTCTTTTTGTTATCCAAAACCCACCGAATACATATTAACTTAAATTGAGTATCGTTCTCCAGCAGAATATTTAAAAAATGTGATGAAAAATTTATATTTCATTTTCTTTTATAGTCAGAAATAAAAGAAAAAAAAAATTTAATCGATGAATAAAAAAAAAAATATTTAAATTTTCGATCGATCATGCATGGAAAAAAAAATTTTTTTCTTTACTTAATTACTACCAATTAATTTTATCTATTATTAAATAACTTCACCAAAATTTTTTTTATCATCTTCTCCTCTATGATTCTAAATTTCATAGAATAAAAAAAAAAAAAACGTCATCGTCAAAGGTTATTTATTATTATTATTTCTATTGATTTTGATAAGAGAATGTTTGGATCCCATTGAAATGAACATTAAAAAATTTAAATTTGAAAAAAATTAGTTCTTGAACTTACTCGTCGATAATCTAATGAAAAATAATATTTAATATTTTCGTAGTAATAAGTAATGATAATAATAATAATAATGATGGTTTTAATTGTATTCGTATCTTACAAAACTGATTATTACAACAGAAGAAAAAAAATTCTTTTTTTTTTTAAGTTAAAAATTTAAACTTGATACGATTTCCTCTTTTGTGTTATTTTTTTTTTTTTTTACATTAATCAAAGATGTTAAAAATCAGTGATATATGAAGTTACGAAAGTTATTCAATGTAAAAAGGGTATTAATATTTATTTTATTCCATATCTTTGATACGGTACTGTTTTACATTTACAAGAAACATATGCAACAAACCAAAAAAAAAAAAATTAAATAATTCCAGTGAATTATTTAGTATAAAAAGAAATTGAAAGTCGGTTTAAGGCACAGTCTCATTGTTTTACAGGTGAGAACCAGACTGGAAGTAAAAAAAACACAAGCATATGAAAATGTTGAACATGGTAAGGAATTAAAAATATTATTATTATTATTATCATTATTAGCGTGAAAAAAATTGTGTGCGAAGAAAAAGTTTAAAAAAAAAAAAAAAAGAAAGAGTGATTAAATGAATTATTATTTTAAATGATTTCAGTCAAAGTGGATAATAGTTATAGCTTTAGCTGTGGTAGTGGCTGGAAAAGCTACTGAAAAACCTAAATCCGATGATGTTAAGGATTCAGCTAAGACCAAAAGAGGTTTGACCCTTGGATCTGGAATTGGAGGAGGCATCGGAGGAGGATTAGGACACGGTGGTATGTTTTATACAAATTATTACTCTGCGGAATTTAAGGTTGATTTACTAATTAATTATTATTATTATTATTATATTTAGGATTGGGTGGATTATCTGGTGGACTTTCATCTGGATTGTCTCATGGTTTGTCTGGTGGATTGTCCGGCGGATTAGGTGGTGGATTGTCTGGTGGATTAGGTGGCGGATTGTCCGGCGGATTAGGAGGTGGATTGGGTGGAGGATTAGGAGGTGGATTAGCCGGTGGAGTCTCTGGTGGTGTGACCCAAGTTAACACTCATCGTACCGTAACCGTCACCAACCAAGTACCAGTACCCTACAACGTTGACCAATACGTTCCAGTTCCAGTCAACAGACAAGTTCCAGTTCCAGTACCCGTCGAAAGACAAGTTCCAGTCGTTGTCGACCGTCCCGTACCATACACCGTTCAAAACTACGTACCCGTCACCGTCGAAAGACGTGTGCCATACCCAGTCACCGTCTCCAGACAAGTTCCAGTACCATACACCGTAGACAGACCAGTACCATACCCAGTCGAAGTCTCCAAGCAGGTTCCAATCCCATACACCGTCGAGAAACACGTACCATACCCAGTCGAAAGGAAAGTACCATACCCAGTCACCGTCGAAAGAAAAGTTCCAGTTCCAGTACCATACAAGGTCGAAGTCGCTAAACAAGTACCCGTGCCTTACACCGTCGAAAAACCAGTACCAGTAAAAATCGAAGTTCAAAAACAAGTACCAGTACCATACCCAGTTCACGTTCACAAGAAAGTACCAGTACCGGTTCACGTCGAAAAGCCAGTACCATACCCAGTAGAAGTACAGAAACAAGTACCAGTACCAGTTCACGTCGACAAACCCGTACCATACCCAGTAGAAGTATCCAAAACCGTACCAATTCCATACCCAGTATCTGACCACAGCAGCGTAATTGGAGGTTCATTGGGCGGTTCTTTGGGTGGTTCTTTGGGAGGAGGTTCCTTGGGTGGTTCCATAAGTCATGGTATTGGAAACAGCATCGAACACGGATTACACGGTGGTCTCCTTCACTAAAATTTTCAAATTCCACGAAAAATCTTCCAGAATATCCAGACTTCCATAAAAAAAAAAAAATCACATAAACCTTTTTTATTATCCATAAAACATCATTAGAAAAAAAACACATCAACAGCTGGTAAGAACAACATTTTCTCAAATTGTTTACTTTTTTACGGTAAACAATTAAAAAAAAATTCTTTTTTTTTGCATCTCTGATGTTTTCCATTCATTCATTCATTCATTTATTCATTCCAGTCTATAATAAAATTAATATCAATTCTTATCTGTATTAACAGTGTATAAATAAATAAATAAAAATAAAACGATAAATTTAAAAAAAAATAAATATATATACATAGAGATTTTATTTTATTTTATTTTCCCATTTAATAAACATTACTTAAAATATAGTGATGCATATAGATATATATTAACTATAAACTTTATCAAGTCAACAATAGTATAAAATTTCTTTCCTTCGCTCCCTCTCCCTCCCCCTCCTCCTCCTCCCTTTCTCTCGCAATTCATTATTCCATTTAACTAATCTCATTTGATAAATAGACTACAAATATAAATAAATTTAAGGATTTTCCTTTTTCCTTCGCATCATTACTACCGCCATCACAATCACCATCACCATCACCACCACCACCGTCACCATCACTCCTTTATCAAAATAAAAGCCTATAAGAAAAAAAAAAAATTCAAAATCTTTCATTTAAGTGTGAAGCCACGTTTAATATTAACAATTTCAACGTAAATAAATTTTTTTTTTTTACATTTTGACGTTTAATATAAGAGATTTTCTCTATCGTTTTTCTAAAAAAAAAAATTCGTCCGCCATCTTTTACGTTTAATTTTTTGGGTGAAAAAAAATATAATCAATCGATGTCAAATATTTATTAATTAAAGTTATGTATAAATAATATATATATTATTTAAAAGTTCAAATGCGTTGAGATATAAAATTCTTGTGGCACGTTTCCAATTAAACAAAATTATAATAAGAGACCAAATGTTATTTTTCATTTTAAACTTTCTTGTTTTTATTTCATTCACTTAATAAACATTCATCGCCTGTATATGCCGACATTATAATTTTTTAAGTACTATTCGGTTCATACTAATCATAATTATGCGTTAATTATAAATCAAAAAAAAAAAATTTTAATTTTTTTAAAAAATAAACGTGAATAATATTTTTTAGATGATACTTTATTACGTTTGATTACAATGAATAAGTAAATCATTTTAAAATTTTAATTTTTTGAGAAAAAGTGTTGATAATAAATAATACTCTTTAGATGATACTCTATTACGTTTGATTACAATGAATAAGTAAATCATTTTAAAATTTTAATTTTTTGAGAAAAAAGTGTTGATAATAAATAATACTCTTTAGATGATACTCTATTACGTTTGATTACAATGAATAAGTAAATCATTTTAAAATTTTAATTTTTTGAGAAAAAAGTGTTGATAATAAATAATACTCTTTAGATGATACTTTATCGCGTTTGATTACAATGAATAAGTAAATCATTTTAAAATTTTAATTTTTTGAGAAAAAAGTGTTGATAATAAATAATACTCTTTAGATGATACTTTATCGCGTTTGATTACAATGAATAAGTAAATCATTTTAAAATTTTAATTTTTTGAGAAAAAAGTGTTGATAATAAATAATACTCTTTAGATGATACTCTATTACGTTTGATTACAATGAATAAGTAAATTATTTTAAAATTTTAATTTTTTGAGAAAAAAGTGTTGATAATAAATAACACTCTTTAGATGATACTTTATTACGTTTGATTACAATGAATAAGTAAATTATTTTAAAATTTTAATTTTCTACATTGTAACCTTTTAGAAGGAAAATTTTTTAAAAATTTTATTTACGTTGATATATTTTTTAATAATGAAATTTTGTATTATTATTATTTAACTGATTGTTAATAGTTAAAATTGTCTTTAATTGATCTTATTAAATAAGTATAAGAGTTGATTAATGTAAAAATTGAGAAAGATTTGCTGTAATCAATGAATTTGTTATGAATTTTCTTGTAATGTTATTTTTCATTGTGGTCATACTGATTGTTTGATGATTTAAACTTTCTTAATTTTATTACAGCATGCATCTTATACTGTTTTTAAACCTGGATCAAAGAATAGGATGAACTTTGGATCTCTATTGATTGGTTTCAGTGTGAAGAATATTGGTTATTGGATAATGATTGTAAAAGAGGTAAGTGAGACAAAAAAAATTTTTCTTTTATTCATTCTGATTACTCCACTGATGTTGTCGTCACCGGAAGAGGAAATGAATTGTTTACATCAAATAAAACAAACTAAAAAAAAAAAAACAAAAAATTTGATGGAGTTGTATTGATATTAATCTCTATGGAATTGGATAAAGAAATTCTGGAATGAATTTTTTGATTTTTTTGTATGTTGTGTCCTTTACATAGAAAGTATCCAGGTATTGATAAGTTACCAAAAATTATTTATTTCCACGGGATCGTTTTTCCATTTTTAAAAATTAAAAAAAAACATTAAATAAATTATAATAACGCTTTTATTTTTTATGAGACTAATGTAAAAAGTTAATTAAAAGCGGTTTGTCGATGGTGGTGGTTGTTGTATCGGGTTGTTGACACGTCGACACTGGAAAAATTTATATTTTATTAAAACTTTTATCGTCCAGGGACGATTTTTGTCCATTGTTTATAAAATATATTGATGCAATTCATATGAAGAATTGATAAAAACTAAGGGAGAAAAACAATTTAATTACATCTAAGAGGTTTTTAGTAATAAAATATGATAAAAACAAAATTTTCAAACGCGGCCCCCTTCCCCCCACCCGAAACTCCCATCAAATTTTTCAAACTCCCCATTTAAATAAAAAAAAAATTTTAAAGAAGAATAAAAGAACAAAAAAAAAATTTTATTTTATTGCTTCTCATGTGGTGCATCAGTAAAAATCGTTTTACGACATATTTTGAATTTTAATGTGACAACGGGGACATTTTTAAGTTTTTTTTTTTTTTTTAGGGAATCCCCCTCCCCTTGGCCCATCCGCATTCTCCCCCTCCTTAACCTCCCAACAAAATTTTTTCTCGCGTTTTCTTTTCTTTTTTTATACTTTGTACTTCCCGTGTAAATTTTAAAACCACGAACGATAAATTAAAATTTAATGACTTAAAATTTATTTATTTTTTGTTGTTTGTTGGCTTCTTCTTTTTCGTTTTCCTCCACATTTTTTTATTTATTAACTATCAAATTTTAATTTCTGGTAATTTTTCACATTTTAACAATCGTAACAACCGAACAAACAATAAAAAAAACAAAAAAACGCCCCATGATCGTATTATCGAACTATTTTTTTTATTTTCTTACTCCTCCGCCATATTTCTATTATCCCAAAAAAATAAAATCCGTCTCGTTTTAAAATGATGCTGCTTCCACGTCAATTTTTTTTTTTTTTGTAAATAATAATAATGATAAATTCTCATAAAAAATTGATTGTATATAGCAGTTGTTTCAAATATATCGGCGGATTTAAAATTTAAAACAAAAATAATAATAATTTTTTTTTTACATAATATTCAATAATTTTTTTTTTTTTTTACGACGTCTGGCATTCATCGTATAAAAAATATTAATAATAATAATAATAATGATAAGTAGTTGTAGGAGTTGTGGGGGGAGAAACGAAAGGTGTAAAAAATTTATTAAATTTTTACCTTATAAAAAAAAAAAATTTTTTTCTTTTTTTTATATGTATTTTAATTTACAGCGTCATAATAAAAATAGTTTTGGTGTTTGTGTGACGTAATCATCAATCGCATATAAAATTTTTCAATATTTTATTATTTTTTGCCAATAAAAAATGGCGGGAGCATGAAAATGCAGCACCTGTTATCAATATTTAACACGATAACAAAATATTTTTTATGAGAGAATTAAAAAATTTGTTTTTTTTTTTTTCGATTCGGTCGTAAATTGACGCGAAAAAGTAAAAACACAAAAAAAACGATATTTTTTATTTTTTAAATATATTATGATGATGATGACAATAAAATTAACGAAAATATTTAACGGTCGAATTCCAGTCGATTTGAAAATATAACACTAATAAATTAGGAAAAAAGAGGGCGCGAGTGTGCAATGGTTGACATGTTTTTACATCATGTCAACCTGTTTAATTTATTTTAATAGTTTTATTTAACAATTGTTCAGTTATAAGTTATATATATATCAAAAGTTTTGTTTAATTGAATGTAGTTTATTGTGATATAATTAGTTTTTTTTATTATGTAAGTGATAATTATATTAAGTATAAATTTACAAATAGTGTACGGTTTCATGTGACAAATGGAAGCGTGGGCAATAAAAAACCTCAGAAGATGGCTTAATACATGTAATTATTATGGGTAAGTACCTCATTTTAATATTTTAATTTAACTTGCAAAAAGGTTAGGCTAACAATGAAATAGAACAAATTCCCAACAAACAGTTTTCAAATTCTGCATTTATTTGGCTAATTATGGGGTAATTTAACTAAACATCTTTTTCATCTCATCACAAAAAAACAAGATTAGGAGTAATTTAATAAAAATATTTAATAATAATTGATTTGATGTTAACTCAGTGTAAAATTTCTACACTCCTATTTGTATGTGTTAATGTACTGATTGTAGATTGTTGTAACCCTTTTGTTAAGTTAGTTTGTCTCATTACAACATAGTTTATCATAGAAATAGTGTGATATCCCTTTTAAATCGGTATCAAAATCATGAGAAATTGGGTAACCCTTATGTTAGTTGATTTTAGTGTAAGGAATTATGAAAAGACACAATTGACTTCATTTTATAATTGTACATCTCTTGAACTGATTATAAGTAGTTGAGCTAAATACTTTTGCCACACTAACTAAAAATGGAGGTACTTCAATAAAAATACTTATTATTAATTAGTTTAATATAAAAAGGTGCATATAAAATCTTTGT